CGAAGGAGATCAAAAGATTATATATGATCGCAGCCAGAGACGGTGGACAAGAAAAGGGAGGAAAAGATTTGAGAACCTTTGCTCGTGTTGATGAACTTCTGCCCTATTGTTTTGTTCTGATTATGTACATAGATATGCTCACTCTCGATCTCCTTTATGGGTCGTGTGAACAATAATTGTGATTCTCGCAGGGCCATTGCGTGGTGCCCATTCCTGCAAGTCTCTTTCTTCCCGTGCAGCAAAAGAACCAGAAGAGGAAAAATTACAAATAGGGAAAGAGAAGTGCTGAGAAAATCAACATGGCAATTGGAAGCTATTTTAAATTTCAGTATTAGATGAACAGAACACCTCTTGTAGTATAATAATCATCATTAGTATAACCAGCTCATGTCGTTAATGTTGATCCAAGCCCTAATTACGTCTCTCTCGCATTGATTAGCATTTTTCGTAGAAGAAATAGAGTTCCACAAAGCTCACACAAATTTACGGCACCCACAAAGAGTTTCCAGATGGACACAACTTTTGATCTCAGATTTTCTTCCTTCCAATGGAGACAAAACGCTATTGTTTTTTCAAAAAATCGAGTATGTATGGATCGACACTAAAAACTCATGTGAACTTCTTCTCAGGAGATATAGAGCGTCCGACCATGCATTCGGAATGTGAACCTTGAGCGGGTGCATGATTGGGGTCAACACAACTACTTCTTCGTTTCTTGCTTCTGGCATCGATCCTGGTAGGCATCTAGTCTTAGGCAAGTACTTTGACTGCACCCGTTCTTAGATAGACCAAGTCAATCATAACCGTTGATAATGTAAATTTCATGCGGGTCCCACATAATTCAATACTTATGTTTGCACCCGATCCCTGGTCCATTCACGGTCTTGCCAATTTATCGGTCCACCTGTCTTGACCAAGCCGAGGCCACTCAAGAGGGTCGATCCCGCTAAGGCTTTCAGCCTCGGGCTTCCACGCGCTTCAATCCGAGTCAGGTTATAATCGGGCTTAAAGAACTCAAGACAGCACCCCATACAAATGAAAACGGTTGCGCTTTAATTAACTATAGTGAAATTTGTTGAGCGCCAGGATGCTCATATGAGAGACTAATAATGCAGCTAGTAGCTCTAGGGTTTTTTGCATTGTGGGGGTTTGTATAATGAAAGGAACAGAGAAAGCACGGCATCTTCAGCTTGAGGCAGTAGGGTGAGGCCAATAATGCAGCTGTAGTATAGGTATCTTCAGCACCACCACCACCCCCCATGGATAATACTGCAGTAAATTTTTCTCTTTTTTTCTTTTGTGCGTGTTCGTTTCTGTGGTCCCGATATGCTCGAACTAAACTGCTGTCTAAAGGATAAGCATGCTCTGGATCTCTTCTTGCTGTTAACCGAGGGTACACAAGCAGAAAGAAGTAGAGAATGATGAAGGTCCCCTTGTCCGTGTGTATGCAAAAACTGGCGTCGTCTGTAGTTCTCTGTCCTAGGAATGGCAGACTGCATCATTCTGGAGGACTGCAAAGCTTGCACCGTACTTCTGTTCTGCGTTTTGTATCTGTGCCTGCTTGTGTGTGTGCTTGCTGATATGTCTCCAAGGAAGAAGCCTTGTCCATCATCATCTCTCGTCATTGGTAGGGTTCGACTGTCCCCTGACCAAGAGTGGGAGTGATGTTCAGGATTTGTGCATTTGGAGATGCCCCTATGATGCACAAGCTGTCGCTGATTTGCAGTGTTCTTCAGAGCAGTGAAAAAGCGAAACCCTGCGTCATCAGTACAATGCCAACCGTGTATGTACATTAGTGTTTCCGTGGTGATATCCTCTAAGAGGAAAATTTCCAGGTACTTTTGGCACGGAGGACATCATTTGGGCACTTTACGGAGTATTCACAAGCCCACGGCCTTGTAATTTCAATTCATTCGTGGTGGATCCATCTGCTTTTCCTGTTTCAAGATTCGCGATAGTGATTGCTCCTAAATTCAACAACCATATTATTCAAGATCATTTAGCTTTCTCGCTCCTTTTGAGTGGAGGTTACAGTTCTGGTCAAGACCTAAATTTATGAGAGAGCATGGTGGTAATTTATGTCAAGTGAGAGAATACCACGACATATCTACCACTGAAGCCTCAACGGCGAATATCGTGAAGCATGTTCCAATGGGATGCATGTTCTAAAAATTCCGAAACCTATTACACTTATACCAATTCAATCCTAAATCTTTCAGCTCTAGCAATTTAGTCCTAAACATTTTCACATTTTGCCAATTATGTTCATCCAGCCAATTTTGGCCGAAAGTCACTGACGTGGACACCATCCATCCTACGTGGCACAGTCGGCACTAACGTTAACATTTTTAATAATATTTTTATAATTTTGTTGAATTTTTTATATCTTTTGTTCTTTTCTTTTCTTTTCTTTTTGGACTGAGGGCCAGCAAGGGTTGTCAGCCGACCCTCGTTGGTCACAGGTGAGGACCGGTGATCCTCGTCGGCACTAGGCAAGGGCATCGCGGCCCTCACCGGCTATTAGGCGAGGGGGACCCCTTGCTTAGATCTGGTGAGGGCCGCAACTGTTGATATGCACGTGTAAATTGTATTAGAGAAATCCCACGTCGAAGAATTGATGTGGTGTTTCGTAGTTATTATATCCTAGTTGATTCATAACTCAATGGCTTAAGTTTTTGAGTGAATGTGGGTATAACTGGATATGTTGATAAGCTTGGACTTGAGTTCCCTTTTAGTGATCTCCCCCTGGTGAAGGTATCAGACCTGATTAACGCCGTGGGCATTGTCGTATAGCAACACGGGCCCGATGAGCATTGATGGAGAGATATCATAAGGATACATGAATTAAGAGGGAGTAAACCTATCATTGAGCTCACACGTGAGGAAGAGATTGTTGAAATGCACGTGTAAATTGTGTTATAGAAATCTCACATCGAAGAATTACTATTTATCTTAGTTGAGATCAAGCGAGAGCACTACAACCCTAGCTTGTGGCCGGCAAGGGTTGGCTGTCAACCGCTGCCAGCCCTCAGTCCAAAAAACAAGTAAAGAAAAGAAAAGAAAATAGAAAAAAAAAACCCAAAACATTATAAAAATTCAAAAAACTATTAAAAAAATGTCAATGTCAATTCCGACCGTGCCAAATAGAACGGCCGGCGTCTATGTTAGCGATTTCTGGCCTAAATTGGCCGGATGAACTCAATTGGCAAAACCTGAAAAGATTCATGACTAAATTAGCACAATTAAAAAGTTTATGATTAAATTGGCACAAGTGCAATAGCCTTAGGACTTTTTTGGTAATTTCCCCCATTGTTAAGCATTGGACAGGTACTTTGAACTCTCTTACGATTGAAGTTAAGCTCCTAGTGGAGACGATTGCACTCGATCGCAACATTGTATTAGAGCCAAGTCACGTGCTCAAATCTTCGCGCAATCGCCCCCACATCCAACTTATTTACAGGGCTCCCCTTATTTTATGTCCCGGTCCCGACATCTAAAAACGCGATGCGGCATATTATTATACCAGAGCTAGTCAATGGACGTGCAATAGGATAAAGCCTAAAAAAAAACATTACTAGCGATAAGCGCGTCTGAGAATCTGGAATAGGTAAAGGGGTGTGGGAAAAATGAGCAACAAAAGGCTTCGGTCGCCGAATCTGGTCCAGAATCCAATGAAAGGCCCCCGGCTAAAACAACGCACGGAAAATGCTCCCCCCCTATTTCACCATCTCCAGTGGTCAAAAAAGATGAATTTTTACGTTTCTCAAGATCACGACCTCTTCTTTAATGAGCGCTAATCACCCACTAGTCTCTCTCTCTCTCTCACCTTAATTATTCTGGAGTTGGAATCCCGATGGGAGGAAGAATTCTCTCCCCTCCTGTCGATCTTGAAGCAAGAGCGGAAATCTTGACAGATCTGCGACAAATCAAGAAATGACAGAAAACGAAATGTTAATCTGACTGTCGACATATGATTGTTGCTGTTGTTTAATGTTAGTGTTAGGACGTCGTCGGGTGCGTCGAATGGGAAACGTTGACGACTTTGCATGTGCGCAAATGACCTAATCCACTAATGGGCTCTTTCATGAAAATAACAAAAAATAAAACCATTTGGGAAGCAAATGCAAGAGTGGAACCACCCATGTCACCGGTGAAAGCAAAGGTAAGAATGGCTTTTTCGGCCCTTCTTTATCCCCTTTTTCCCCTTGGAGGACGACATGTCCGTTCAGTGGCTACAAGCAAGAAACGATTCCCCACCCGAAAGTAGCAGCAACAGTCTGATATTGCCTCAGATTAGTCCTACTTTTCATCAAAATCAGGACTCTCGACAGTGAATAAAGCGAATGTAGGGTTAAACTGAAGACGCAAAGTCGGGACATTCGACGGTGAGCAGTCTCGAGAAAATAAAGGAGCGGAGACTCCATTTGAAAGTCGATTGAACCCCACAAAATCGTCTTGAACATCTGACGCTGGATGTATGGCTGCAAAATGTAATGATACGATCCAAATACACTAAACTGCATGGGGGTCGTACTTACAAACAAAAGGACCTAAATTCGCCATCAAATTCAGCTTCTAAATCATTTTACCCTACAAAAAAGAAAGTACCGGGTGAAGAATGTTTGATAACAAGTAGCAGCAGCAGCAGCTTTTGGTTTCCTTATTTGCGATTAGGAAGAAAAAACATAGGCAAAGGCAGCATAGTTGGCTTATAATGTCATAGAAGAGTGATCCACCCTCCTAACCACGGATATTACTGTTGTGACCACAAAGCGCCTATAGTGCCCCCAAAAGCAAAAGGAGAAGGTGTGCAATCGAACCACACCGACACATATGCATATATATTCAAGGAATTGAGGGAAAAAACACACAAACATGTGCTCGTTCTACGCATCTACATGCACGTGCTTCACAAGAAATGGAACTGCCCAAGGAAAGACTAAATACAGTATAAATCATTGAAACGAGAGCCAAGACACCCCCATAAACACAAAAGCAAGGAGTGGAAAATCATTGAGATTAACGACAATGGCCTCGTACATGCGAGGTTCGAAGTCTAGCCAACTTTTTACACATGGAAATTGGCAAATGTATAGCACCAATTTTCCAAAAACCAAATGTACCAGCCAGCTCTGTTTGGAGCACTCACAATACCTAGACTTTTCGAGCATGCTGTTGTAATAGCTTCTGTTTCCTTTGAGTCTCTATATATGAAGAAAGGGAGCCACAATTCCTCCGAGTTTCCTCCAACTCTTTCTCCACCTTCTGGATCTACTCCAAGTGAACACAGACGAGTATAAATATCATATTGACAGTAACAGGATTTTTTCTATCTACCTAGTCACACTGCATAAGCATAATATGGATGCCAAAAAAATAAAAAACCTACCATCTCGTTCAGCTCAGTCTCTCTCTGCTTGTGTCCCTGACACCTGCATATAAGCAATTATATCAAGAATGTAACATCAGAACTGCTAGAGGAATCGTCTGATTTTACTTTTCAAGCATAGAAGTACGACAGAATAAAGGAAAAATTTGGACACACTGCAACCTATGTGGCAAAATCACTCGTTACAGTTTTAGAATCATTTAGTGGCGAACTAAGTATAGAGAGGCTACAATTAATTGCCTGGATATAGAGCCCCAATAGGACCTACTTCTTCTACCCAGGGTCGGGTGATGTCTCCTAATAGTATGTACCTGGGTACCCCAATAAATACCTGGTTGAGGGGGATCAGCCCAAATAGAATTTCTCCTAAAAAAACCACATCTTAAGTCCTAACTACTTGTTATCGCATTGTTAGACTGTAGAGTATAAGATCGATTGATCTTAAATTTTTACGATCTAAGACTTGAGACTCTGTAGATTTTTGTAATTGGAGATCTATGGCACATAGGTTTGAACAAACAAATGTGGTTGCCAATTTGAGGTGGTCCATTACATATTTATCGTGAGAGAATTTGTTTCTTTAAAATAACTGTGGTGGGATTGTTGGTGTTTTATAGGTACCCGATTACTTTAGTGAGGTAGGCTTGGGATTTAACATTAAAACCCTTAACAGGTTTGGAAGATAATCAAAATTATTGTGATGGGTATGGGACCACGTAAGTCATCCCAAACCTTTGTACCAAACCCACTCCGCTTCCATCCCTAGGGGTCAACTTTCTTTAGAGAGAACCTCAAATGATCGTGTCTCATAACACAATCTGATATCTCCAAGGTACTATCCACAGTGCATCAAACACTCTGGACGATAGATGTTTCTGTCCCATGTTATAACTGGCCATTAACCAAGCAAAAGAGGAAAAAAAAAAAGAAAACTCTCATCCCAATATATCCGAGCCAGTTATAACCTAACCAGAGTGAATATACACAATCAACATAGGAAAGGGATTAATTTTGGATTAGTGGTCAGAATTTTCATTTAAACCTCACTTGATCTACTTCCATAGCATCAAATAGATTTCTGCGGATATTGAATGTGCATGTGGATACTCACAATGGGACAAACTCTCATGTTCTTTAACACGAATTTCCACCTACTTTCTAAACTCAGGTTAAAGATAGCCACTTTACCTCATAAAGAGTTGTAAATTCTCATCACAGATCTGATCTAAGGACATCGACTCAATGGCGTTGGCTGATGCATTGTCCGAACCCTGCAATTACATATCAGACCATCAAGAAGATACAGTTCAGTGATTTCAAGATGAAAGCAACATGTCCATCATAATATCCACAGCGACGAAGAGTGAAAACCTCCTAGTCTGTATAGCTAAACTTACATGAGCAAAGTAAAGATTGGATTGGAAGCACGTGAACTAATGAACTATGAACGCAAATGTTTGAAAGAATTACACTCCTCAACCTACAGAAGCAATCTAAATTTATTGCCAGTCACCATCACGCAATTGAAGGGTGCTTACCTCCCACTGTTAATACTAAAATTAGTATTAAATCTCTATCATTTAAAAGAATTGAACAAACACAACAGCAATAGATCTAGAGCGTGAATCGAGTGGCATTTAGAGGAAAGCAAAATGAACAATTTGCAAGAAAGATAACGAGGAGTGCCACAAGAAGTTAGTTAGATGGATGGTCTCCCCATAATGATTATTTAAATCGTATTATCTTTATTAATTCCTGAGGTATCATAATCAAATCTTCCAACCCATTTTGACAGGTGAAGTTAAATGTGACTGGAAATTGTTAGATTTGCCCAGACAGCTCGAATTAGCACTCCTTCATCTATCAAAACAGCTATAACACCATTTATCTTTAAGCCCCCCTCCCCTCCCCTCCCCCCCCCCAAAAAACAAAAAAATCTGTCCGTAACATCAATATTCCCATATCACCTTGGACACTTTCTGATCACAAATTATATATCTAGAAAGATATCATATTAGCTACAACCATTTCTGCACCTGGATTCTCCGGATAAATTTACAGATAGAAATTCTTTGATTGGAGAATTTTCGATTTTTGTCTTAGATCATTGTTGTCAGGATCACAATAGGTATTTCCAACTTTCTGAACTGTAGTGGATCAGATAGCCCTTCGGGCAACCAACCAAACCGACCATATCCAATTTCAATCAACAACTTGGAGGTATGGCTGAGTGGCTGAAGGCATAATACAGAAGGGTTTCAAAACGAATAATTGAAATTTTTTCTTCGATAGAGAACACTCATGTCAATGAAATTATTTTGAACCTTTATTGGAAAAAAGGTCACTCTTTTTTTTTATCTTAGCCAATGCTGAATCGATGACCTATGTAATGTATAATGTATAAAGTAAGTAGAATTCTTTGGATTTTTAGAAAAGAAAAAAAGAAATAACCTTGCCAACAATTCCATATTTTTTGTTTGGTCAGAAGAGTTCTCTGAAGAGTCCTCCAAATATTCTTTTGATCTTGGATTAGTGATCAGTTTTGATATCTTTTTGGCGTAATATAATATCATTACCTATGCAGACCAACTAAGAACTTGCACGACTCTCACGGAAAATAGTGACCCCCGCCATGTCCGTTTTATGTCTTATAAGACACCACAATGCAAGCATATCACAAAGTAATATTCAAGGCATTCTCAGAAAAGCAGTCTACCATGACATCTTGTCTAAATTGGCAATGAAACTTCAATTGCGAATCCATACCAAGTTGTGAGATAGGTGTTTAAATGCAATACCCACATTATGCATTGAACGCGGAAAAGAAGCTAATTCATCTCGCCTATAATAATTTCCTCGATACATGCAATTACTCCAACCCACCAATCCATTACTAATTTAAGTTTTAATGACATTATAGAGTAATATAACAGAGAAGGGAATTCAGAGATTGCCAAACAGCATATATGCAGGTATCAGACAACAAATCCATACAATTTGCTTACACCTATACCGTAATAACGACCACACAGTTAAATTCTTTTTAGAAATTCACGCAGTTATGACAAATCTTATTTAAGGAAACATATATCTTTACCCCACTTACCATTGCAAATCCAGCACTGGGCTGATTAACAGACAATCCTTTGCGATTGTTAGATTGCCCATCAATGAAACCCTGCCTGACATTAGCAGCATGGCTAACAGTTGGTGGATTTAGTTGCACTTCTTCATAGACACTGGCCAAGTGTTGACTTTCTCTGAATTGTTTCTGCGCATTTTTTTCTACCCCTGCGGAACTTATACCTCCCTTTTGCACCTTCTGCGTCCTAAAACCAGGAGGCTGATGACCAATAAGGTGACAATGGCCTTTCCTGTCTCAGAAAAATTTCCACCAGGTCAAAACAACATGAACACTACTGACATTAGCTTGTCGTAAAAAAACAATGGCCACAATAAAATGACATATAGACAATAAATAAAGAAGTTAATGCCAAAAACACAGGCACAATACCAAAGCCAAACAAGATAGATAGTAACAAATGAAGTAATCCATTGACTGCCCTACATGGGGAAAAGAAGAAAGTCATTTACAAACATAGATCCGTGAATGTTAGTCCTATCCACAGTACCAAAATTTTTCTTTGATTTAGCTTCATAACAAGCTTTACCTTCCTAATAAGTGACAGTGAAAGTTTCCTTATCACAAAGCATTTCAGTGATGCTAGTGATGGTTTAAGTAGAGAAGACAAAAATACATAAATTAAACACATGTTGTCCGAAATCCGAACTACTGCATGTAGTAGTTAATATAGGCAAGAATTCTCCAGAGGCTTATTTAACGCATGAAATAGAGAAATAGACCAAGAATTTTAAAGCAGTCACTCCGCAGCAAAATGTTATCTGAGATTCATTAAGAACTAGAAAATTATAATTCCAGAATTATGCTTAAGAACACAAAATGGCAGGTGATAGCCAACATGCCTTTCTTATCCACTACTTTCTGAGATTATATTTATCAGTCATCACTCAACCAATCGTGAAACATTATTAACACACAATTGTCAATTCAAAGTGACTATAAGAAGAATAACTAACCAGTATTCTGAAAGGGTCTGCTTCAGCCTAGCTTCCAGTCGGATGTACAATGATGACCTCTCGAAATCTTGCTTGTCATGTGCAGGCTCTATAAAATTTGCCTCTAAAACTCCTAAATGTATGAAAGAATCTGGTAAATAATAAATATTCCAACAAAATTATTTTGATGAAAACATATAGACGGTAAGCAAAATACCAACAACGCCCTTTCCTTTTGAAGACCCATCACTGGTGACTTTCCAGAAAGGCTGAAGAATGTAATGAAACTCAGTTAGTACAGTGACCACAAGGTTCAACTCAATGAAATTAAAACAAATTAATTATCTTCCCTAGTTATGCAACCACATTTTTCTGAAGCCAGAATAAAAGATTCATGAAATTTTTAGCGTTTAGTTTCTGGAAATATTCAGTTACTTTGAAACTGCAAAACATCCACATATTTGATCAAATGCAGTTCATAGTACTATGCATTGTAGCAGGCACTAAAACCCAGGATATCAAAGTGCACATATGTTGATCAAATAATTGAAAGAGCATACCCGGATCAGGCGATTCTTATGGTACACATTAAATCCAGAAATTCCAATATCATCAACCTCTTTTATAAAGCCAATGGTTGTTTCCACAGCAACCTAAACCAGGAAAAAAGGCATTAAAGTACAATCCCTCCTCAAAAGCTTAGTAGACTAAAACAAATTATGCTAAAACTTATAAAAATCCCTAAAACTCCTTGAGGACATTTACAAACTTTTACTGGAAACAATTGCCTCAACACAGGCAGAAAATGTATCCTATTTGCACTCCGACATATGGAACCATGAGAATAGAGCATAGTATCAGATATTGTATGTTCCATAGACTTGCTTGTCAAACGTCCAACTAATCATAACCATTAAACTAATTGACAGTGATTAACCTAGACAGGAACCAAAAAAATCCAGGTGAATGGTACAAGCAAATGAGGTGCATACAAGGATTAAGAAATGAATAAAGAAATCTTGGATAGTTTGTTGTGATCAAAGGAACAGCTAAAAGCTATAAGTATGTCAAAGAGGAAGAAAAAAGAGGCTAATGAACCTTACCAAAAAAAAAAAAAGAGGCTAATGAGGTAGAATTCATGGAATTACAAATTTGACATCACATCAATGACACACCTATTCTATGATTATTGATAAATACCTGAACCACACCATGCACAATGATGACAGGTCTATGACTAGTCAACACAATCAAGTGATGACACAACCAAACACTGTGCTAACATAATAGGAATCAGACCCAAAAGATGAAACTACAAGGTGCAGAAATCACAGCAGTGTATGGGCAAACACACTGCTGAAATAACGAGATACTGAGACAATTGGCAAGGAAATTGTTTGTCCAAACAACATCGAAAATTTTTCTCATAAATCTCCTTTATGCTAAGTAAAACTGTGACAAATTCGTGTATGACCGATTCCAGCAACTCTGCAAAGAGGCCCTCCTCTAGGTTCTTCCTTGAAGCACTCCACATCTAGTGGGACAGCAAATGACATTTCAATTTTAAAAAGAGTTTGTTATCCACTTTTACCAAAATAAATTGACTCGAGCTAGTACAAAAAAATTGGTTACCCACTTGCTATTGTCAGAAGGAGCTCTAATATGGTGTGGCAGCAAACCCTTGCACAACCAGAGCAGAAATAAAGATACAGCTGTTGGGCTCATATTAATTTTTTCAGCCACTACTGGGAAAGAATTTAAGTCTGCATTTGGCTATACTAAAATATTTGGATTTTCAAGCAGAAGGGAAAATAATCATATGTCGAAATTATGAAAAGATTTCTCTTGATTTCAAATTACATTCATGTCAAGACATTTATGGAAAAAGTTGAGGCATTCTGTAAGTCAAATTTCAAATGCTAAAAACATGAGTTAGATAGAAAGAAAAGGCAAGAGTTGTTCCAAACAAACTTCATGGTAATTATAACAATCTAGCAACCACAAGCAGATTCATTTTCTCTCAATTGCATCATGCATCTTACCTCTTTTGATGCTGCTGCGCCATGGGGTTTATACGGTACGACCTTCGAGTATTTCAAGTTATCCGCGATGTTATACTGGTCAACTGGTTTCCCCCTCAATAAAATCTTGAAGTTTGTAAATTTTCTGAGATATAGTATGGAAGCATATGCCTAAGGAGAAGAACTAGTTATTGTGTATAATATAAATGAGGCACGAGAACAAATACAATATTTTAAACGAGATAGAGAAGAAAGTCAAAGACCAACCCTCAATGAAAAGCGCAACCGGTAAGATATATGTGCTTGGATTGCAGCTGTCTTTTTGTTTAATCTTGTCATGCTTCCCTGATTAGCTTCGTCTCTCAGCATGATATCCTATTTAAAGATTGTTAATGATTCATGAATTCAAGTATTATTGCAAAAAGAAACAAGGAAAAGCATGAGAAAAGAATACATTAAATACATCTCTACATGCTCACGGTAAACTGACCAAATTAGCATTACCAAGGTTCAACAAAAGTAACAAGCTCTGCAGGCAAGCTTTGGAGTTTCTTTCTTTATCCTGTACATATTTTGGATTTGGAGAGGTTATAGGAACAGCAGAAACTTATAGTAGTCTAAACTACTTGTAGTTAATTGAACTTATACATCAATGAATGCCCTAGAGAAGTGACTCTTTTTCTCTGGATAACTTAGTCTTTGCAGCCCAACACCTAATGCCAACAGACAATTTGACAGTGCATGCCTCAGAAAAGGGACCAACAGTCAAACTTCCCTTTAAAGGTGCTCATTTCAAAATGGAAGCTTTTAAAAAGTTCACAATCAAATCGAATAGGCTCAAGGGTTCTCTTAAAATATATAGTAACATGGAGATCTATAAGTCCTACAAAATATCCAGCACAAAAAAGATATAAAATAAATAAATCATCACTGGTTGCTCAGAGGTACAGAGAAAGAGCCTGATGATTCCATTGGATCGATTTGCAAAACTGAACACTTCATAAATTTTATATCAACAGAAGCAAGCCAAAGACATTTGTAATTGACAAGATGGACATAGAACACATAAAGACACTACATGGAAAACATATTTCCCACATGCAATATACCTCATCGTCGTCGTCAAAACTTAATTCATATATGCCTTCATCGTTCAGCCACAAATTGTAAATAAGAACTTTGGTTCCGTGTGACCCAATATCCTCGAACTGGGAAAAGAAGATTCAATTTTCAGGAACAACCAGACAGTAGTTGCAGCAAATTAGCTTTCACAAGAAAAACAGCTTAACTCAAAATTAACGAAATTCTCCTCCTCTCGAGGAATTTCAAGGCACAAGGGGTCGAAACTTACCAGCTGCATTGGACACATTCAAAAATATTGCAACCACATTTGATAATATAGGCTCCCAGTGCAAAACTTCTAAAGGATCTAAATTCCACTGTCAGACATTCAGTAGCCAGATTTTATCTTATTTCCCCTCACTTGATGCCGCATACTATATAGGAAACTTTGACACTCAAAATTTATGTGGTCCTGAAAATGAGGCGCCTAAGACCTCCCCGTCATTGACATACACCAAAGGAACGTTATTACATACCTTTTTTTTCTACTCTTTGGCAAAATACTTATTAGTCAGAAAAGTACTAAGACACCATATCCTGCCTCCATAACCTTTGAAATTAAGCAAAGAAGACAACTATCCCATTTTCAATACCTCAACCATATAAAGCAGCTATTGCAGACTAAATACAATGAGATTAAAAGTGCAAGTGTGCAACCGCAAGCTTGGTCTAGCTACTTGCAAGCTACTCATTGCCCGAAAGCTACTTGAACCTTAAATTGTTTGTTACAAAGTTCGAGCAGCTTGAGTATAGTCAATGTCAAGCCATATCAAGCTTCACATCACTTAACTCCAGTAATTCAGAAACCTAGAAGAGCAGTGGAACTTTAATATGATTTAAAGAAAATTGTTTCCCTATGCAGAAAGGAACCATAACATTGTATGCTCTATCAGATTGTAATCACTCAGAGTTTGAGCTCCAATTCAAGCAGTACACTTGATCATTATGAAGCTGGCTCAGATAACTTAAACCCTTAAATGAGACTAAGGAACTATATTTCTTGCCTTGATGAAGGAACAGCAGAGAGCAGGTAAAATTGCAAACAAATAGCTTGGTAAGAAAGGAATGAAACAGAAAGCTAAAAACAAAAGATAAACCTGTTGCATTAGGTTCTCCCTAGATGCAAAGGGAGACCATTCGAGGATAGTTTGCAAATTGGTAGACCAATCATCCTTTGAGCCATAGATTATCGGTTCAGTCCAGTGACCAGAGATATCAAAATCTATCTACAAGATATGTAAAACCATAACTGAATTAAAAGAAACAATCAATTAAGGCCTATAATGAAAGGCAGGTGATCAAGATGAGAGCAACCGCAATGATGATTATCTTTAGGACAACCATATTTACCTATGTCGCATGAAGCTGATTGACAATGAGCCTGCTTGTTTGTGCTTTTTAAAAGCGGAAGGCATTTTTTTTTTTTTGGCTTTCCCACCAGAATTTAACATATTATCCAAAATTCCAAAAATCATGAAAATATTATTTGCGAATCTACAAATCAACATTTGTATATTGTCAAACTTTCAGGTGCTTTAGACTAAGAAAAACTGCAATAAGATCTAGATAAGCAAAAAGTAAAAGTCTCCACACACGCTTGAAAACTCTCCAAAATTTTGCTTAAACCGCACGGTCCCTCTGTAAGCCCACACATTCATAATAATGCTAAGTGGCAGTTGTAGCTAAGAGCCTACAATCAAAGCTGCTTAGAAGTAGTTCTTCTCCCTTTCTTCTTCACCAATCTCACAGCCTGCCCTTGCACATTTCTCACACACCTCAGAATGGCCAACCAGAGCCATTTTCAACATTTAGCAACCATCTCAGGAACAACGCTTTACAAATTCTCACTACAAGTTCAATCTTGAACAACGCAACAGTGCAAACAAAGCACTGCATCATCTCCATCTACAAGTCTGCCCTTCAAAGTTAACTCTCAATGAAATAGAGAACAAACAGTACTAGAACACGCGCACTTCTACTCAGATTTGATTCTAGCATCTTCTCCTCAACACCCCCCCCCCCCCCCCCAACCCCCTCCCACCCCAACCCCCTTTTCTTACCTTTCCTTCTCTGTTGACGCATGAGTAGACTCAAATTATTGGAAGGGCAAGGGTGGTTAATGGTTGGGTATGTCTGAACATTTTCACCTCCTTCAGTTCCCGATTCTTTCCCCCATGGTTAGTCAAAATTGAGACCTTGGAGTCCCCTCATTGCTACAGTACAAGTTAGCCACCAAGGACAGACTCGAAATGGTAAAGCCACTTGCTATGATAAACTTGTGGTCCTATACAAACATTTCATGTAGACCATGTGCCTGTTACAGTGGAGCTAAGCTTTGAAGAAACTGGCCTACTTCAAGACACTCCTTGAAGAGAACATTTATACGGGATTTGATCCACATTCACCTTTGCTTCAAATTAATAAAATGATAGAGCAATTAATCACTTAAGTTGTAGGAACCTAACAAAGATCCAAACCAGTGCCAACCTCTGCTGATGTTAATCGCTAAAATTCCAACAAAGCGTGAAGCATATTTCTAGTCCAATCTGGCAATTAATCAGAATCATTATGTTTCTGTTACACAGATCGATACAAAGTGCCAAGAGAGCAACACAGATGACGTGGCGGCACGATAGGACTAACAAAAATGAATAAGTAAATTCTCAGCGTGCAAACTTAATATAGAACTTAAAGAATCACCATTGGCACAATGACATCATCCTGCCCGGTTGTCCTTAAAAAGGTGTACGATAGAAGCCCAATGCTTTGGGTTGCTCGGCTATAAGAACATTAAAGAGAATATTAGGTTCTAGTACAAAGCACTAGTAGATTTCACACCAAGAACTGAGCAAGTAGAGAGAAGTCAACGATAAAAATTAGATTTCCAGGCCACAAACTGATCTATGCCTCAAAATGAATTCGAAAATAATCGCCTTTTATAGAAACCTAGCTGAGACCAAATTCATCGATAATTCAAGACTGCAGGACATATTCTTCATATATGAAGGAAAATATGCACAAATGTCAACAGCAGAAGTTCTTAACATCATGCAACCACAACTTAGATTCCTATGCATCATAGATGAATAAGGAAAAAGGAGCAGATTCTGGAAGCATTTTTCCAAGTGAAGCTACTGCTTAGCAATTCAATCTAATTATTAATGTACTTTAATAAGCTGAACTCGATGATCATTGAAGCCTATCAATCTGCTAAGAAAAGGAAATTATGTCGCAAGCAAGTTGCCCCCTTTAGGAAGAGGTGAAATTACGTCATAAACTAGAATAAGTTTTGCTTCCTATAGGCTTGTATCCATAGTTTGAAAATGCCAAGATTCCATTAATCAGCTTACAACTCAGGAAGAGTGGTACCGTACAAAATAAAAGTGGCAGCATAATCCATTAGCTCAAACTTTTGAAGAAGTTGGCCTCGCTCAACTTAGCAAAAGACTCGATGGAAGAGGGAAAAAGGGTATTGAAAGAGATTACAAGAGAAGAGATTAGACTATATATATCAAACTACAAATTTGAAGTTAGATAAATAACAGTCCTTCAGAACAAGACGAGACACCAGATCCAATATGGTTGAAATGTGATAACAACCTTCAGAGGAATTGCCCTATTACGGTTCCCAAGTTCTTGATACTAAGTCACTCAAACTATGTTGGAAGGCTTATATGTCATGTCATCGGACTTAAGAAGGGACTTAGCACTAATAGAATAGAATCACAGACTTACATTATATGCTCAAGCATATAACATATTACTGTGAATGATGAAAAAATTTGAATCTACTATGAGAAATGTTGTTTAGTAAATGTCTATCAATATAGACATTGGTGGTAATTAAAGTAATGCAAACATAGACGTACTTGATAATAAAGAAATCACATGGCACCAATAACTCACCATAATTAAAAAATATATAGCAAAGAAAAGCATAACTTAGTACCAAATGACCACTACAAGAAATGGACTCCAAAGTCTTTACAAACAGCGCCCATTATTAAGTAAATAAGCATGCAAAGGATACAGTAAAAGTAAAGGAGAGTCAATTACCCAGTACGAATAGCACGAGTAAAAACAATTACATCAGCACCGAGTCTCATTGTACTTGTCTTGAATCCATTTCCATCTGGAAATACATCCTTGCGACCATGAGTGAGGACCCAACCATTATGTTCAAAAATATATCATTGAAGCAAACTAAAAGACAAATAAATAGTATGACAGAAATTGCAAGACTCTAAAAGGAAATCAGATATATATGCTAGAATAAGTAACGCGAAAATTTCAAGAAATTAAAAGGATGCAAAATGAGAGGAGAGCGTCAGTTTGGTTCTTCTATGCACATTGCTAGTAACGAATGCTCATAATTATTCATACTAGTTGCCTCTTCCTATGTTCTAAGATGGAGATGAAACCACTGCTTTTGCCATGAATAGCTCAATAATCTCAGCCCATGACAATACCTGCTTACTTTACAAGCACAGTTTCCTATGTCCCCGAAGAAATGAGGGCAGAGGCATGACACAGATCTAGAGATCAACACAAAAGGAAGTGTAAAAGTAATCCATAGATCTCAACACGATTGACATTAGGAGCTAAAGATATATCATTCACTTCCCTAGGTTTAAATATCGGTAAGTCTACCTTAGACTGGACATATGCGATCATTTCACTCATATAACTCAGTCAGAAAAGCCAATGAGAGAACCTCAATGTTGCTTCCATAATTGATCCAGAAACCATAATTCAGTGCAAAAGGACCAAATAGCTGAATGAGCTTGAAGTATAATGAAATTAGGATTGATGCAAAAGAAAAATCCTTCAATTAGATCACCAGCTGGTAAAAGGTGAAAACAGTTAATGTCAATTACATTGTCCTATTGTCGTGTTCGACTTCTTTGAAGAATACCCCAAGCTCACGCATTTCCTGATACCATCTGGATCCATTCCACCTCCATCATCTGCAAAGTCACAGCAGAATAATAACTTGAACATATCTGAAATGCATAGACCGCAATTTGAAGAGTAAAGTATGAAGTCGCATACCTTGAATCAGTAATGCCGGGGAGTTGTCCTTGAGGGTATCAATTTTGTCAACTTTCACAACTGTTGCCCCATTACGTGTCTGAGGATGATATTGGAAACGCTCATCAGTACCAACCATTATACGGAAAAACAAATCTCATATTGAAAATGCACTATTCTTTCTAACACAACTATTTATTTCCTTGATAAAATCTATAAGCATGCTAGTCAAAATTAATTTAATCATTATGATCCAGTGAATACCATGTACGAAATTTCAAAAATGACTCCCAAGAAAGAATCTGTTACCAAAGAAAGATATTATTAAGACCGTAACCGCTAACAATTTTGACATTTAAAAGACGGAGCACTAAGAGAGTCAACATTGATCAACAACATAGAATATCAAATGGCCCCTATCTCTTAGAACCTTCATTTGGATTCTTGATGTTAGATAATTACACTATTTCCTCAATGATTCATAATTCAGAACATTCTTTTCTTTTCATTATATACAAGCAATTTGCAACACTGAAATTAATGTCCTCGATGATCCTGTACAGAACAGAATCAGAATCAATAAGATCAGACTTCACTGTATTCACGGTAATAATTGATCAGAGCACCACCCTTCGAATAAATAAATAAGATGAGACTTTGTAATAGAGCCAATAGGCAAAAGTAGTATAGTATCAAAACCAGAAGAAGCATAGTCAGACTAAGCCTATGGGCACCATATTTTAGAACAGTAAAGTCAACTAGAAAATTAAAAAATAAAAATAAAAACCACGAGCCCAACCACAAAGAAAAAGACTGAAAACGCACAGACAAGATGAACGGAAAAAGGCATATAGCAACATATATGCTTTCAATTAAAAAGGTTAGCTGACATTTGGATAAAGCCAATAGGTAAAAGTAGTATCCAATTCGAAACCAGAAAAAGCATCTTTAGACTATATATGAGATTTTGTGGGACTATTGCCAACTGTTCTAAAAGCTTAAGCTGTTAGATAAAGGCATGATTTAATATTTAATTACTCTAACACCCCCCCCCCCCTCACGTTTAGTCTGGTCTTTTTGCCTAGCACTAAGCGTTGACATATTTAATTAGGGAGGCCATTGGGGCCTAGAAAGATTTGAACTCAAGACCTCCAGCTCTGATAGTATGTGAGATTTTGTGAGACCATTGCCAACTGTTCTAAAAACTTATGCTCTTAGATAAAGGCGTGGCTTAATACTTAATTACTCTAAACATACTAAGCTTATAAGCCCTACATTGAAGAAAATTTTAAGTCAAGTAGAAAATAACATTGGGCCAAGCGCAAAGAAAAAGACTGGAAAATTATATTCAAGATGAAAGATGAAAAGGATTTCTGGAACAATATAGATTACTTTTGACCCTAAAAAAACATCAGTTAAATTAAAATCCACCCAGATCTTGCCGGTTAACTACCAAAACCTATCATTCATCAAGAAGAATCAACAAATTGTTTCATAGCAACAAGATACCATATCACTCAACAAGGGATTGAAGGACCTTGTTCAAGTGAATGTGAGTCAAGAAAATCGAGGCAATGGTCAACCCATTGTTTCTTCACGATTTCTACTGCACACGCTCTCTCCCTCTCTCCCCGGGCTATCTCCTTAAACTGATTTTTGACCTTTTTGCCTCCTTCAGAATGTAACCGCAAATGAATGTTTTGTCCACTTATGATGTGAAGTCAGCATTGTGGTGATAGCCTCAGCATTGTGGTAAGTATGACAAATGTACTAACACTTTTTAGAGTAACTCTTGTCATGTAATCCTGTTTATGCTGGTCATAAACTCACCAGAACAGCAACAGCAACCAGATCTCAGGTAAATTAAAAACACATCCATCAATAAAAGAAAAGCTGCCTAAGTATACTTTCATTTCACTCAACCAATGTTTAAAGCCTAAATTGCTACAACTATGTGCAAGTGCAATTTCAATTTCATACTTAAAAATGATACATTTAGAATTTTGCAGTTTCAGATATGCTTATAACCAAAAGAACAAACCAAAGGTTCCCCTCTTCCAGCTTCGCTATCAAGGGATTTGTATTTAGGTCATTATTAGACACACTAATACACAAGAAGAATCTACAAACTGTTCCCTATGCAAGAATTTCAAAGAGAAAACTCTTTCACATACCTCATCCACAGCATTGTCCAGGAGCTCGGCAATTGCTGCAGAAAGGAGGGAAGAGAAGGTAAACCGATGAAGACAACATACAAATTAAGAATTTCCATCTACACTAAATAACAAACAACTAATATAAAATCTGTCCCCCATCAAGATCAATCTCTCGAACTTCATATACAAACCTCATGATAATGAAAACAAGTATCGCCTGTTTGGCAACTGTAAGATGAAATCCTCACAAATGAATAAGAAAAGTTACATAGTGTAGTAACACTTATCTGTACTCTGTGCAATAATCTGCCCAATCAATTCTGTGCAAACTATAGAATAAAGCAGATCTCAAATTGGTATGCAATGACATTTTTCGAGATGAGATACGAGTTTTTCGCTGTATCTGTAAGCTGGTTTAAATTACATGAACTTTTTCCCTGAAGGGTCCTGTTGTTTCTAGGAGAGAGGAAAAACACTCAATATTTAATGTTTCGAATACTGACACATTAAAGCTGCAATATCTAGTGGTTGAAACTTTTCCCATGTTCGGATGAATGGATGTAAAGGAACTCAATAAAAATAATGACAGATTATTTCCTCCTTTTGGCTAATAAAAGATGAAGGAAATGGATGGAAATTGAATAAACGAACTTCCCCTTGCCACCCACTTCATGTCCTCCCACTGGGAATTATTTCCAATATTAAACTCTTGATTGTACACCCTCACTCTTGCTTAAAGCCTGAATAAGAATCACAACCAAACAGCAATTTCGTTTCTCTTGGCTTCTTTCATTTTCCTAATAAATTGAATTGCCAAACATTTTGAAATAGATTATGCACCTGCCACATATGCATAGCTTTAGGACTCTATATGCCAAAAAGGCAAATCACAAAGTCATCAACCCCTCATCCCCATAAGCAACCAATTATCATATAAACGTGAGAACCAAAAGGAATCCACAACAGAACGCTTGCGGTTTTATTATTTGTTTGACATACCCTTTTTTTTCCAAAAGTTTAAACTACCAGGAAATAGACCAACAATGTATATATGACGTAATTCTTGACACTCTGCCTCACATGTAAGCAGGGCCTTCAATGAACGTAACCACATCCACAAAATAATCGTGAAACAAGAAATCAGACACAACAGCAGAGAGTAATAGATAAATAAAATAAGAGGTATTTTCAAAATTCGAACTCGTGACCTATGCTTTGTTATCGAAAGACATGTATTTCTAACATATCTCTTAACAATATAAAATGTCATACATGTAAACCATGTGAGTTTTCTCCAAAAGAAGAATTGCCTCCACCTGATGCTGAGAGAAACAACAGAAAGATATGATCTCACAATCACCTCATAAAACCGACATTGAGATGGGAATAAAAAGTTTTAGGGACATTTATCTTCAACCCCAAGAAATCATTACAATTAAAGTTTTTGTACAAGAGGTGGCCATTTTAGCCAACAAATGAGACTAAGTCAGAAGGAGCAAACATCCATCTTTGACCTCATGAATTCAGTCACCAACATACAACAAATTGCAAAAGCATCAAGCATTGTCAAGTTAACTCACATCGCGAATATTGAATGACTGCACAAGCATGCAGCCGAGCTCAACCATTGGCAGTGCTCCATGCACGGACATACCACCGATTAAAAGCTCTACCACTAGATAAACATACATTAAGTTCATCTTCTTCGGTTTACTTAAAACTGACTTGCAAATGCCCATCTATGAGAACGAAGAAACATTTCTATGCCCTCTCACTGCGAAAAAGCAATGTAGGGAACAATAGGGAGCAGTTCTGGTTAATCTAATATCCTCTCTTCCCCAGTAATTGGTACATGAGCTTCTCCGCTAATAAAGAAGGCCGATGAATCCAAAAGATGACATGCTCTTCAGGAGCAAAACACAATAACCATTACCTAATAAACACCAATGCCTCAAAAACTGTATAAAAATCTCCAGCTAAGCTCCTGATTAGCAATACTGGAGATATACACAAGCAGCAATTGTATGTCCCACATGCTATTTCCAGTTGAAAACTGAAGTGGATAACGAAAATTTTCACTACGGTTTACTGAAAAAATCACCTCCAAATGCCCATTTGTGAGAAGTCGCGTTCGAGTGAAGAAACTTGGGATGGACACGAGCATGTTCCAGCAGGCCTGCGCACCGAAAGAAATCACATCAAGCACACACAAACCCAGCCGCATGCACAGGCTAAGAAGCAACCGAACAGACCTGCATCAGACGCTAGCTTCGCATTGGGCGCCACCGCATAGTTCCCGGCTTTCCAGAAGCTTCGAGACTCCAGGTTTTCGGCGGCGGCCGGCGCCGGCGGGGGAGCAATCCCGGCGACCGGCGCCCCGGCGAGAATCGCCGCGTTGATCGCCGATTTACGGTCACTATCGACCTGCTTCACTACTTCCACGGTGCCCTCGTCGTCGCTGCTCCCGAGGTCGACCACCTCGGGCGCCTCCTTCTTCGGCGGCATCCTAGGAACCGCTTGATCACGACGCTCTCCCCCGCGGTCGCGGTCGGGGGGCTTCGGGGGTTCCACAACCGGCGGCGACGGGCCGAGCGATGGAATCTCGAGCTGCGAAGGACGAGGAGCGTGCCTGAACTTATAACGGGCGAGCAAGGCCGGGTTCGTACCTCGGCCGCCGCTGATCGAGGGCTACGGCGAGCGGAAGAGGTCGACCGGCATGCCTGCAGGGAGGAGAGCAGAGACGGAGAAGGAGCGCTGATCGCCAACTGAGAGTAGCCGGAGACTGAAGGGAGCGAAGATGTGAGGCTAATTACCTCTTCCGGTCCCAATTTTGCCCCCAAACTTTTTTTTCTCGTAAGAAGGTCCTCAACTTTCACTCTAATCACAAATTTACCTCCACGTCCAAAAATCGCCACTGAATTTTTTAATGTTATGAACGTCAGAAAGTTGTTGTTACTCCTTATGAGGTGAGGGTGTTTACGACGATACACATTCTGATAATGAACTTCTAACTGGTTATGATATTGATAATATTGAGTAAATTAGTAGCAATTTTTGGACCTGTGAGCAAATTTGAGATTAAAGTGAAAGTTTAGGATATTTTATAAGATAAAAAAATTCGTGGCAAGATTGAGATTGGACTTAAAATTTTAGATTTTTTAGGAAATTAGACCGAAAATGTAAAAAGGATCGGGCCGGTATTTGGGTATCTTTTTTGCTAAGCAACTGTTGGACTTGTAATGTCGTATACTCATTTTTGGAGTGTACATTTCACAACGATTGCAACACATAACACTTCATTCCGTAAATGCCACAAGTGACTTAGCTAGTAGTGAATTAGAGCAAAAGGCTAGGCAAACTTAAAAATGCATACACACAAATTCAATTTCGAGTCATGGACTTAACCGTCTCCGCCAAATTCGAACGATCTTGTGGGCTTTTCACTCCAAACTCTCTGCACACCACAAACAAAGAAGTCCTTGGGAGTTTGCTCACAAAAACTCTTCAATGATTAGATCTGTCAAGATAGGTCATAAACTCATTTATTAACCTATATATATATATATGATAGGCTAAGTTGTTATATAGATTGGTTATATTAAGTAAATAAATCATAAATGAATTTAAACATAATATAAGTATTAAAATGGGTCGCAAATGGGTCCCGACCCACCTTTATAACTCTCTTCTTATTCTTTCTCGCCCTCACTCGATTTCACACTCCTTCGCTCCGCACTCTCACCTCGGTTTGATTATGAGTTTTCGTAAATTGAGTTGAACATGGAAGTGTTTTTGCAATATGGATCAAATCGAGTATGTGACGGATTGGGTATGAGTAACTAGATTTGCACCGCATGGAAATTGCATATTTGGGTCTAACTATGTTCGACCCACCCGTTTGACGAGTTTACCAATAGTAAAGTTCTTAGATTTCTATGCTAATAAGAGGCAAGAATGACACCGGGGAGAATTAGTATGATAGAACCTCCTTCAAATATGATACTAAATCTATCAAACGGGTGAGTCGGGTTTGGGTCAAGTCGAAAATGGTTCGACCCATATTGACCATTTTAACCCGTTTTGACCCATTTCCATATAGCACAATTCTAGCGACCCATACTCGACCCAACTAGTATTACTAAAAGACTTCAGTATTAAATCTAATTTAAAAAAACTTGTTTTTTATAAATTTTGAAAATATATATATTCCTAAAATATTATGTACAATTTTTATAATTCAAAATTTTTTGATTTTTTCAATATTTTAATTTTTTTTCTTTTTTTTTCTTTCTTTCTTTTCTTTTTTTTCTTCTATGTCCGGCGACGACCGGTGATCGGCAATCGACAATGAGCGACGACCGGCAACCGTTAACCGACTCTGGACCGGCGACGATCGAAGACCGGCAACCGGTGGTGACTGGCGGCGTCCAGTAACGATTGACGACCAACGGCCTGTGGTGACTGGCGATTAGCGATTGGTGGCATCCGGCGACAAACCGACGAAGGGCAACCGACTGGCAACCCTTACTAGATTTCCTAGAAAAAAAAAAGGAAAAGAAAAAAATCATAAAATTATAAAAAAATTAGAAAATTAAAAGAATTAAAAAAGCGACTTGTCCATCTACGACTCACTTAACTAATCAATTTAAGACCCATTAAGTTGTTAACTAACCAATTTATGACCCATTCAAGCTTGTTTTCAAAATTTAAGGCAACTCATTTATGACCCACTCCATTAAATTTAGATTAAAATGTGGGATGTAGACCCATTTTGCCACCTCTAATGGATAATATAGACTTGGCTAATGGGCCTCGCGTTTGGCCTATTATTTGTACAAGTGTCGCAAGTCTCAAATGGGCCCACTTTCAGCGATCGGGCCTATATCCACTCTCAACACTAACATTCACAATAAGGCTGGAATCCACTAGTAATCTTTAAGATAAATTACAATCAGTAAATACCGCATTTCTAATAGATCACTCACAGAATACTATTATACCTTGTACACTTCCCTTTATCATTGATTACAAACGTTATTACCCAGACATTGATATTAGGATAAACAACAGCTAACAACAAAAATAGAGCAAAGAAGAAGGTTCAAAGCACATTATTAATCCTATTCATTTTTCTCCCCGTCCTAATTGCATCTCTTGGACTCAATATATAGCCAATTATCCTCATATGATCGTTGCCCATCGAAATCCTCAAATAGTTGATGGTTCTAGTCGTTCCTAGTAGCATACCGTAGCTAGAAATAGTCAAAACGGCTCTCTAACATCGGCAACGTCTCTCTGACGGTTGTTGTTTCCACAACAGTGCTAGTGTAGTTTTGTAAGACTTGCTCATTAATGCCAAAACTACTTATGATCAACTCTAGTGATCTTTCTGCAAATTTCAAGCCTCTGTAACGGCGATCAAGTGACTAGCACATTCCAAGACTAAATATCAGCACGAGCCCCTACCCATAATTAGGACGCGCAAATTTTTACTAGTCTGTTGATGCTGTCACTAACAAATTAAGTGAAATGACTTGCGATCAATCTTTCAATAATCCTCTTGGCTTCTTCAGCATACAAAGACTTTCAAGGACATCATCATCCCCGTTGATTCCTCATGTTTGCTGATTAATCATATGAGTTTCTAAAGATTTCCAAGGACATCAATATACCCGCCAATTCCTCATCCTCACTAATTTGAGTGAGTCAGCTTTTAAAGATCTCCAAGGACAACAAGTTGGTTCATCATCTTCATTGAACTGACAATGACCATCGATATTTATCACAGTTTTCCACCTCATTTAAGATCGGCAGCTGCTCTTTGCTAACAATCTGCTGCTCCGATAACAATCCATCGATGTTGATCTTTCTTCTGATCCTTCCAAGTATATTGGCAATTTCGATTCTACCAAGCAGTTCTCCTTCTAAGCTTTACTGAACATCCTCGTTCTATGTTTGTTCACCATCACCAAGTCTATCCAACTGGTCATGTGATCTTTATATCTCAAAGTCATCACGAACATCCCCATTCTTCTTAGCTTATTTACCATCGATCAAAGTCATTCCAAATGTTCGCATTATCTAAAGATCCTTTCAGCTTTTAGACATTTTCAACACTCAATATCTTGTTCACCTCTGATTTTGGCAAAGCACTCTCGAAAGTGGTATATCACTTCTCATATCAGAATATTATGATGTTGTTTATGACAATATCTGCATTTCGGCTTGTGCATATATCGCTTGGACTATTCAACCAATACATACATTAGTAGCATTTGATTGTCTATGTCATCGTCAAAACAACATAGGAGATTTTTCCAACAATCACCAAATTGGTGATTTTCCTAAGAATTAATTGATATATATTTGTTTTAAGTAAATAATCACTCTCTTATTAATGTCATTGAAAGATTTTATTGTCTAGTTCATGTGAAATATTTTTTTTCGAAAGAGTAACTCTTTTTAGGGGAGCCAAGCAGCTGAACGGATATTATCTTTCATTAAATTGCTTATGCAAATTGCTATTATTACAGTATTTTTGACTTTGAAGATAATCTCCTTTTCATTGATGATTCTATGAAAATTCTGACGGGTTTAGAATTGACAAAAAATATGTGTACAGCTATATATCACGTAATCAAAGCAAGTATCATATTTTAGGAAGCATTTTCTTTTGCATTTGCATGATAATAATGGATGGTTATAATTTTTTATGTACTTTTTTTTGTCATGGAATTTTTTATGTACTTAATTTTGTCATATTTCTAATTTTTTTAAAGTAAATTGAAAACATCATGCAATGATGATTTGAAAAATCAGTAAAAAAAATGGACTATTAGATTGACTAAATAAAATGAAAATTGAGCATTTAAAATACATAGACTACAACGTAATGACACATATTAAAGTTATGACTCTAAAACTGATAAATGGCTCTTTTCGCTCTTAATTGTGCTTAGGTTATTTTTTTAAATAAAAGTTTCATGGTACAAGGAAAAAGAGAAATATACAACTCATTAACACAACAATTAGTTAGCTATCTGTCAAATAAACTATTTTCCAAAAACAAAGAACACCAATTTAGTTCCAGATGGAGAAAGAAAACGAAAAAAAAAAACCAAAAAAGGTGAAAAGAAGGCAAGAAATAAATGAAAAAAAAAAAGAAGAAGAAAAAAGGTAAAAAATAATCTTAAATTAACAGCATCACTCGTAAATGGATGACGTAATCAATTCAACGTGATAAGAGGCGTCGGTTCCTAAGGCGAGATGCCAACCAGGGGGAGGGGGGAATATCCCGACCCGACCCGACCCGAACCGAATTGGTCATTAGGTTCGGGTCCCGGGCGCGCGCAACGGGGAGATGCGCCAATCTCATATCCTCCTCCCAAAGTCCATATCCTGTCTTCTGTCGGAGTCGGAACCTGAGCGCACGTGGTAACTCTCTCTCTCTCTCTCTCTCTCTGTGTAAATCTCTCGATTCGGAAGCTAGGGTTTTTGTTTCTCCGATTCCCCGGCAATGCTCGCGGTTGATCGGATTCCGGAACGCGATCGATTTCGAACGAGAGGGGGGTTGTTCCCGTTTCCGATTTCTCCCTCGCTTCTTCCTGCGTTCGTGCGGTTCTTTCCGGTTGTCCGCGCGTCGTATAGATTCCCCATGGTGGGGCGCTCCTGGGCGGACTCGAAAGCCGTCTTTGCGTTGGGAATGGCCAATGGCCACATAGGATTTCGGATCGGCCGCGGATACGGAGCGTGGCGCCGCTTCTCGTTAGTCGGAATAGGGGTTCGATCCTATCGTTCCGTAGCTCGATGGACTTTGATTTGGTCGCGTCGAGGCGCGGCAATGTGCTGTGCGGTCGATATCGATTCGATCGTTCGTGAGAATCGGGTGGAGCATGATGAGTTGCGGTCGATGCTCGGGGCGACGGGAGATGCTTGTTTGTCTCGACTAAATCGGAGGTTATTCTACTGACTGGGTGCATTGATGAGAAGACTTTAATTGGAGGAAAGGTCCGAGAAATTGCGGCTTCTTTCTATGGATACGAAAGAAGTGATTTTTGGTATTACACTGGATTTAGGGATGAGATGGGTGTCAAGAAAGTAGGATATTTGTTGAACTGGGCACACGATGCGGGAGTGTAATTCGAAGTGTTACGTTCTGTCTTTATTTACGGTAACTGTTTGGAGTTTTATGTTGATAGATGATGGTATGTCATGTATTAGTTCCAGGCTGCAACTTGCCTAATTTTTGCGGGGTTGAGATGTGCTTTTCAGCTGGGAAATCCATCATCGATGGTTACTTTAGACTTTGTAATATCTCTGTATGTGAAGTTTGGTTCGAGACTTTAGTTATGGTGCTTGCTTCAGATTTCCCTAATGAATAGAGGAAGAGGAATGAAGGATATCTTGTTTTCCCCCCAGAAAATGCTGTCAGATAGTCGCCCGTACTTAAGACGATATAATTTATATCTGGATTATAGACGATCTGTACTGCTAATTGTATGATAGAGCCAGCCAGTAGGTCTCTAGAGGTAGCATCTTATGATTTGTAATGCTTTTCAACTGATTTATATTGATAATTTGATGGAGCATGCGATGTTGAATTCTACTATTCGGTTTGTGTGTGCTTCATCAGAGGGAATGTACAGTTAGAACTGTTGTCTATGGGCACTCTTGCACCTGAGAAGACCATGAGAAAATGTGCTCCTTTTTTTTGTTTTATTTATTGGAGGAGCCATGATTTATCTAGCATTGCACTATCTTTCGACTCTTTTGCTGTTTGCTTCGTCGATGTTTTAATGTCTCGATCATCCATTGATGCAGGTGACTCTGTTTAGCCTTTTCAAATGGAATCAAACGGGGACTCTGAACTCCATGTAACGATGGAAGAAAGTTCTCCTAAAAGCTTTCAAATCGATCCGAGAAGAGCACGTTTCCCATACTGCGTTGTCTGGTCACCCCTTCCGGTCATATCGTGGTTCATCCCTTTCATCGGGCACGTTGGAATATGCAGAGAGGATGGAGTAATCTTGGACTTTGCAGGGCCCAATTTTGTATGTGTAGATAATTTTACATTTGGGGCAGCAACTCGTTACCTACAGATAAGCAAAGAGAAGGTAGGCTCACGTCTCAATTGTGAAGGTGAACTTTTTTTTGAACAACCATGGCTTCAGCTATTGAACTCTTTAATATGCTTTGAGATGAGATAGGAGCACTTCATAGTTATTGGGCAGTTTTGCACTAAACCAACCATGTGTTAGTGTTTTTCTATAGTCTGAATTATACGAGGCTTCATGCTATCTGTTCACATGTTCCCCACAGTGTTCTTTTCTTCCCTGTACATCCGACTACAACAACGAGGATCAAAACCGAGAGGATGAATTTGGAAGAGACATGTCGACTTGGGACGAAGCACTGAGAAAAAGTACGCAGGAGTTTCAACACCGTCACTACAACCTCTTCACTTGCAACTGCCACTCCTTCGTGGCAAACAATCTGAACAGGTTGGGTTTTCGATCCGGGGGATGGAATGTGGTGAACCTGGCTATCTTGTTCCTTCTCGAGGGCCGCTGGGTGAACAAGGCGGCAATCTTGAGATCCGTCTTGCCATTCGTCATCGTCTTCCCTCTCGGGCTCATACTCGGAGGCTCGACCTTCCTGATGATCTGGGCATCCTTGACCTTCCTCCTCGTGGGGTGGTTTTTCCTCGGCACATACTGTTTTCCGAATGTGATCCAATTGTAATGCTCTCCACGTAGCGGCATGTAAAAACGCCATCCGACCGATTTCTGATCACACTCACGCAAGACGTGGTTTGTAGTGCACTATGTAAATACTGCAGCTTTCTTCTGGTTTCTCGTCTCTTGAATTAGTCAGTACTGTGTGGTGGGTAGTGTCTGGATTGCTCTTTGTTGGAGCCGGGCAGGAGATTTTGCCGAGGGATGCGTTTATTTCGCGAAAAATATATTCAAATCATTCATTTTTCTAAAAAATAATCGTTTATACCACTTTTATTTCTTGTAAAAATGAAAGAATGATAAATGATTTCATTCTTTATGAAAATATTTAAATATCAATTATTATTGATTATGAAATATCTTCCATCAATTAATTATTTTAACCGATAAAAGCGATTATTTTTAGGAAAATATAGGTTAAATTATTCATTTTCTGCAAAATAAGATGAGCCTTAATTTTAGAATACGGTTCATAATTCGAAGGAATTTATCAGAAGGGTCGAATATGACTCTACAAATAGATTTTTTGCGTGACAAATGGATTTCATTGATACTTCAGGGGAGTATTTGGAGTACATTTGTCTTCTAGTAAATTATTTTTCGGTTAAGGTCATAATATAATGTTTTTCTTTCTCTTTTTTTCTCTGTTTGTTGAAGTGTCGACGACGCAACAAATTGCGTGCGAGTCCATCGTTTCAGCGAGTGGGGCGTTCCCTCACCCTAGTGAAAAAATCAATCTAGGAGCGGGGGTCCTTGTCCTTATCCGGTGGGTGGCAAAGTTGCAATTTACGGGCACCGACGGGGTCAAAATACGAGCTGGCATCGTACGTTTTAAAAGGAAGTTAACCAACTTTCAGAAAATGCACACGAAGGCCTCTTCCTTTTATAGCGTGGCCACCTTCTTCGTTCCTCCTCCTTCCTTCTTCGTTCTTCCTCCTCCTTCCTTCTTGTACGTCCGTCCGTGCGTGCGTGTGTTTGAGAGCGAGCGAGCGAGAGAAAGAGAGATGGCGGAAGAGGGGCAGGTGATCAGCTGCCACAGCGCCGAGTCGTGGAGCGAGCAAATCAGCAAGAGCAACGAACCCGACAAGCTGGTAAAAGTTTGGATCTCTTTTTGTTCTGTCGTGATCGTCGCGATGCGTACGTGTTGTGCATATGGAATTTGGGGCGTTGTTGATGCGATGTATCGTTGTTTAGCAGCAGATGGGCATGGCGTCTGATGAAATGTACGTAATCTCTCGAGCTGGCTTTTGAAGCGGTAGTTTTGTCGTCGTTGGTTCTTCTGGATCAGCTGCACTTGTTTGCGGTTGTCCGGTTTTTTTCTTTTTTTTCCTTTTTTGGGCACCGGTCGGGACGAACGAGAAGACCCAAATCAATCGAACGGGAAAAGAAATTTATTATGGACTTACGGAGTGTTGTTTGATAAGACTTGTTTTCCGAATCACGTGTGACGGAACGGATCTGGATGTGAAGGCCGCGCCTTCGAAGGTGGCGGGCCGGCTGTAGGGGATGATGGGGCGGGGGCGGCGGCGGCGGTGGCGGAGGAGGATGGCGGGCTCAAGGCCGAGGAGGTGTGCGGAGAGAGAGAGAGCGAGCGCAGAAATGCGAATGGCTGCCACATCGGCTGCATAACCTTCTCCGAATATGATTCACTTGTTTAAAACGCCACAAACAGTCTGTCGTCACGACATTTAGTATATGCCGAAGTTGTGAATAGGTCTCGATATAGCATCACTCGAGTATACAATGCGGTGCTTCGTTTGGCCAAACCCGCCGAGCATAGGACGGGAGGAATACTCGGTACATAGTTCCCCGATGTTGATAACCTTGCTTGGTTTGATCGTTCTCCTTTTGGACTATCTTTCAGTTTTGCCTGTAATTCGAGCAAATCTTGCAACAAAAGTGATTCTTTCCACTGCATAGAATCATACTGATACTTAGTCATCGTTTCACTCTCGCATGAAATTAAGGAGGGGAGAAATTCGTTCATATCACTCTCCTTTTCTTTTGAATTCTATTTTTCTCGTGAAGAGAGTATATGATTTTGCTGTTTACGCTGCTCCACTAATTCTATAGAGGAACCGGCGAGTCGTAGTTCATGGCTAGGATCGTAGTACTGCTGTCGAAGGTAAATACTCTGATTTTTTATGGCAATATCAACTGTATGCTAGTGAACTCTTGATAGCAGATGACTTCGTTTGGGTGATAGTGCAGGAATGTGCAAATGGGTCAGTACTAGATGATTAAGCTCTTTCTGTTCAAGAGCCATTCGACTGCCGCTTAAAATTCCCAGGATGTTTCTGCTGTTGCATCTTATTTTAGACCGCCACTAGCTTTGGTGATGAATTTGTCAGAATTGAAATACATATGATGTTCACCGATTTTTTTTTTTTTTTGGGTTTTGAAACAGGTGGTTGTCGATTTCACTGCTTCATGGTGCGGACCATGCCGTTTCATCGCACCATTCCTGGCAGAGCTGGCAAAGAAATTTCCTAATGTTCTATTTCTGAAAGTCGATGTGGATGAACTGAAGGTAAAATAAACCCAGGACTAACTTTCCAGGGGCCTATACGAATGATGGAAATCTGTTTCGATAGATGACAGCCTACCTGTCCACGTTCTGCTTTGCTTGCAAGTGTTGTCGAACTCGCGAAGGAATAACTTCCACTCTTTTGCAGACGGTCGCTCAAGAGTGGGCCGTGGAGGCAATGCCGACTTTCATGTTTGTGAAGGGAGGAAAGATTGTTGACAAGGTGGTAGGAGCCCAGAAAGATCAGCTGCAGATGACTTTAGCTAAGCACATGGCAACTGCTTCCGCTTAATCATCATGTGCTACATACAATCTCTCTTTTTCTTTATTTTAAGGAGTTACATACAATGTCCCTTTGATGTAATGAGATTGCTTTGAATCTGGTTCTCCCTAGACATACCTATCTACATTCACTGCGTCAAATGTCTCAGAGCGCCTTACGTCCATCTCCGTAGAGGTGTGATTTCCAAGTGACCATATGGCATATCATATGCTACTTTGGGAGTCTTCAGGATGAGCAAATAATGCATGGCAAGACTCATGGAGAGAGTGTTCCAACCATAGATGGAGCCTCTACGTAATATTGCTGGATAATCTGGGATTAGTGTTGATAGGACCTGAATGAGTTCCAAAGAAACTATAATCTATGTGAGTTGTTCCTCTTGGACCTCATTTATGGCATCTTCCTCAGAAAACAAAAGGGAACAAAGAAAAGAGGTGAGGCCCCTCAATAAAATTTGGGAGATCATGCAATCTCTGCTTCATGGATTGACAGCTTCCAGGTATCATTCCGTAACCGTGCTATGGTCGAGCCTGCAGCTTTACTTGGTAATTTGGCAACTGGCAACCACATCGGCCACGTCTAAACCGATAAGCAATTAGGTGACGGTGCCGAAACAGAGGAGAGACCTGGTGCTATAACTAAATGCACAATGCATGTTGAAGCCAAGAAATCAGAATGCTGAACTCTAACAATTCATTAGGAACTGCAAAAGGGTAACAACAGCAAATGGTCACACCAGGATCCACTCCCAACATGAACCTCTTAACTGGGTCCTCATTTTTCGTCCCCAGCCAATACAGCAAATGAAATGGACACACAACTACAAATGAACTCATTTTTCCCAGTGGCGTATCCGGTTAAAAGCCCGGGGACCGGGAAAGAATTCGTCTAAGGGCCCCGAATTGCAGAACCCCAAGGAACTCACAATTTCACCTATATCATCATCTACCAATCACTAATTTACACACTAGTTCATGCTAATTTACCACATAACTTAAAGCCTACAACAGACTCTGGCACCCATTTTATTCTTCTTTCTTGTTTGTCTTGCTGGCAGTGTACGGTTAAGTGAGGAGAGGCGATTCTGTCTTGGTATCTAATTAACCCCTCCATTCGGGTTGCACGGTCGTGGAGAACGTGGGAGTGCAAACAGCTTCGACGGACAATCTCTTCAACACATTCGGACATGGGTCGTGCCCGAAGTTGCTGTTAGATATCGTCACCGAGCATCTCTCCTTCCCGATGCAATTCTGCAATAATATAGAGGAACTTGAATTAACATGCAAAAAAAGTAAAATTGATCTTTGAACACGCAGTTCAACAAGGTGATATCACATTCTATGGTGCATGTTCATGCATTGAGTTATTTATTGTGAATGTCAGCAATTTCTCTAACCGTATAAATGCGGTGAATGGCTTTTTTACTCTAAATGCAACGAGTCATGTCATTGCTAGGGTTAAACATGTGGGGTCCTTGTTTGTCATATGTTGCTTGAACATCTACAAATTTACCGGTCCCTATTTATTAGTACCTTCTCTAAAATGTCATATGAGCTCTGAGCATGGCAAGTTCCTTGCTGGTAACTGCCACAAGTTCCAAGCGGAGTTCCAAAGCTTGCAAACTTGATTGAACTTATTGATTGACCTGGACTGCACCGCAGGTGAACTTTTGGGTTGTGGAACTCTTCCGATTTTCCATAGCTCTCAATGTGCCAATTCTTAATGGTTGGGTGGAATTCGGTCACGTCCGCACAGACACTGGTCATCGATCTCTTCACCAGAGAAATCTTGGATGGATTACCTCCAAGTTCCTCGAAGATAACCAAGAGATTCTGCGTCGGCTTCAACCAAGATCGTGGCACATGGTACCTGAAGAATTAAAATCCCATGAGTGACAGAGGTCGATTTCATATTGCTTTAGCTCTGCTTGATACAACACTTTTTTTGGTAACTCGTAGGTGATGTTATGAACAAATACTTTACCATCGCTGGGTTGGTTGTCCACAACCAAGCTGACATTTGGGAGGCCTAAACGTGCCAGAATAACTACATCCATTACAATCACCACTGGCATACGCAGTCCAATATCTTCCGATGCTCTCTCCATTAATCCATATCTGACCTTTCCCCATGCCACTCATGTCTATGGCCAATGGCTCATCACCTTCGGGGGCATTGAAATAAGCCTGCAATTAAATTGTCATCAGAGACTTCAGTGATCTGTTACAGATTTCTCTCAGTAATCTTCTTCTATATGCAATACCTTATGCCAGGTCAGTGGCTGTTGTCGTTGGGCGATTAACGATGCATCCATCCAATCAACTGAGGAGATGCTGTTGGGAGAGTTAAGACTCATAGCCTCTCCTTTAAGCCCGACCTGTTCACAGAGGCAGGATTAAGGAAATTTCTAAACCAAACCAAAGAATGAGAATAACAGAAGGGTGTTCCACCTGATAGGTCCATTTCTGCCAAGACAAGTCCCATTTTCCTTGATCAAGTCCATGTAATGCAACTGGCCCAAGGATGCCAGTGTTCCATGTCTCAAAGTGTCCACCAACATTCTAAACCAAAAAAGAGAAACTTGAATCAGGCAGATGGCAAGTTACAGTAATCTTATCAACCAAATGAAGGCATCTTTAAATTAGTTCATGCAAGTTAGATTTAGCAGCATTCAGCATCAAGAGTTTTGAAAGATCGTCTCGTTTTCTCAGTCTAGTTGGATTGGACTTTGCTTATTAGATTATGACAAGATCATTTAGCAATGTTTCAAATTATGATGACCAGACCAAGGAATCTTCACTTCCTACAAGCATGCCTTCGAGGTGCTCATATAACTTGAATAAGTTTATGACAATTGGTTGAGCTAAGGATGCACTGTCAATGTTACTTCTGTAACTCATCAGGTCATTGTTTTATTTTAATAGGAAGGAAGACCGGGTCATGAAAGAGGAACTTACCGGTAATCCAACGGCGACACTCAACAGTGCTATTCTGTTTGTGCCTGCATGTAAATTAACCTTGCCAGTATATGTGAATCTCCTATTCTCCCTTGTTCCAAAAGCAGAACCTGTCAAACATAATTCAGTTATCATTCTTTTTTTCTTGAGAGGGCATATGAATAAAGAATAGGGATAAGAATTTACGCGCACCTGAAAGCTCCCCATTGATAAAGATATGCACGGCATGGCCTGTTGATTGAACAATAAGAGTGGGGAGTTCTCCTCCTCGTAAAAAGGACTCAGAAGAGCCGATGTCGACACTGTTGGTAACAAAAGATGGCAAAATTCACTCTTTGGCATGTCCAAAAAAAAAGATAGAAACGAAAGAAAAATGCTCACAACCCTTAAAACACATACACTCACGTACACAGCACACCACATACAGCACATACGAGCAGAGACACAGACACAGACTGAGGGAGGGAGGGAGGGAGGGAGAGAGAGAGCTCCAATAAAACACCATATACAAAAGTAAAAGTGGTACCATGGCACTAGAGTAAGTCGAGCTCACCTAGTTATGTACCACAAGTAATCACTAGCATCCCTAGTTACATTGATCTGCTCCAAGAGGCCGTAAGTTGTGAAGGTTGAACTGTCATCCACGGAAGAGACATCCTCATCGTAACTCTCCCATGAAAGCATCTCACTGTTAACTGGTAGCATTTCCATTTGTGAGGTTTGAACACCAACCTAAAATCAGAATCATACCAAGCTTTAATCTTTAGAGCGTCTAGTCTTGTCGTACTAAGAAAGAACAAACATCAACGAACGTAACATCCGTTTCCCCAGAAATTCTAGGAGCACAATAAAGAACATGCACAATTTCCTACCTTTGCGGTATTAAAAACTACATTTCTGCAATCCGGAAGAATGCTGATGGACCAAGGAGGCAAATTGTAATGCATGTTGTTGAACATCACTCTGGCAGCAGATTTTGTATCGTAATTTGCGAGAAAAGCGGCACAATCTCCAGATTCTGTGGTGTACACATGAGCCTAGTAACAGCAAAAATAAAGGATCAGCAGAGGTAAATCAATGGCACATCTTCCAGAATAAAAAAAGAAAGTTACACATACCTGTTGATAGGTACCCAGAGATGTAACCATTGGATCAGCTGACACTAATGCCCGTTCACACATCTTAACAGCCCTATGTAGCTCTTTGAGATGACCATACTTTGGTTGCCTGATTAGGCCTACCAATTAAAAGCACAGAAGCGATTAGCCTGGACTGCTAACTCAGAAGAATAAATTTCTCTCGGAAAACACTCGGAAAACATTTCAACGGTACATATAAGCATTGAAATCCAAAATATTGCTAAATCTCACCATATTCGTCTATTGGAGCATCGTAGTCGTAGCTGGTAGTGATGAAAGGGCCTCCAGCAGTGCGCCCAAAGTTTGTGCCTCCGTGATACTGTATGTTTCATGGGATACATTAACTGGACTAGCACTAATCACCAGCAAATGGAAATGTAGTTGAGCTCAAAGGGACAAACCATGTAATAGTTGACGAAGGAACCTCCTTTCTGGATGAATCGAGCAACGGCAAATGCCAAGTCCTGAACCGGCCGCTCGTGAAGTGGGCCTCCAAACTCTGTAAACCTGCATTTCTTGTTGGGACAAAAATGAGCACATATTTCCTTCTCTTTGAGCTGTAGATTTGAAAGTCAACTAAGGGAGTGATTAACTTACCAACCACTCCAAGCCTCTGTCCAGATTGTGGGTTTGTAGTCCTTGTTTGGAGAAAATGCATCACAGTAAAAGCCATTGCACGTGTTTATCTGTGTCCAGTATCAGTGCACAGGTCTAAGTATATGCACAAAGCAGAGAAGACTTTTCTCCAAACATGGGTCTCAGTTATAGATCTGACACACGTACCTTGTATCCTAATTATACTATTCCAGGCTAAATAATGTCAATATATCAAGTAAACTTAAAACAGTACAAGAAAAAGAATAAAAGATTGTAGAAAAATGCTAAAGTAAGTCGATTGAAACATGAAAGAAACACCCAAAAAAGATGCCTGGAGACTAAACCAAGATCTGGAGGTCAGAGAGAATAATATCTCACCACTGGATCTGGGGCATCTTCTTCCTTGCACATGACCCA